ATATGATTCGATCAGGGCTATAAAGACCCTGTTGAAGGAATAGTATGAACAAATGAAACTATTTTATCATCCTATAGTGAAAAATAAAAAATAAAAGATTATATTTCCCAAGATGTTGCTGTTTTTATCTACCTCTGCACTTCAGTTAGATTAGAACAGCCTACAAAATTGAAACAGCGCATCAGGCATCATGTAACTGATGGTAACATAATTAACATAATTAACATTGGTAACATTTTAATAGTAAAATAGAGTAAGAACACTTTCATACTTTGCTTTGCTCATTTGAATATCATAATCATGTCAAACATATTGATTTTAAAAAAAATGTCCCTAACTTTGGTCACCGATCATAATTAGCATAGCCTTTCTATGTCCAAATGTTCTTCTTTTGGTTTCTATTTTATTTAGCCGAAGTAAAAAAAGGTTATTAATCATGGCGTTTTTAAAAAGCTTTAAAGACCGTCACCACTACTGGGCAAGAAGGGATTAGACCACACAGCAAGCCAGCGAGGTCACTGTGACAGGTGGCTATCTCATTAACTCAGCTCTCATTTAACATAAGAAAAAGAGGATCATGGGGGACCAACAGGCACCGATTGGGGAAGTTTTCTATACAGAGGGAGCAAGTAGCTACAAGTATGGCAGTGTGCCTTTAAAGGCTTTCGGCCTTTCGTTTTCTGAAATCAATCATGTAAACTTGGGAGAGAGAGAGAGAGAGAGAGAGAGTTCGTCATTTGCTTTCTTTTCAAAGCTGGGTAAATACTGGTACAATAGACTTATGAATACAGACACACATCGTGTCTGATTATAATGCTAGCCATTTTAACCTTTTTGAACAAGACGATTATCGGGTTTTTTTTCCCTTTCGTTTGTTAGTTTTTTTTGTGCTCTCCTTCTGAAAATCACGCATCAATATCATATTTTTATACAGTTCCTTTTCTCCCCACACCCCCCCCCCCGCTCTCTCTTTCTCTTCTATCATCTCTTTATCATCATCATGTTAAACGGTGAAGTTGAGATAAACGGAATACGTCTTAGACTGTAATTAAAGATAAACTTGAGTTCTGGTAAAAAAAATTAAAAAAAATGAATTCTCACAGAATCTAACGAAACTTACACTGAATGTTCAAGATTACAAATAAATGTCATGTGCCAAACAATTTTGGAAGAAAATGTATACTGGCTGAGTAATGAGCATAGAAAGATAAGGAAATCAAGGTAGTTCTAGCCCGACACCATTTGTGTTGTCACATATACATCTTTCTGTGTACAGTGATTGTTACTTTACCAAGACTGGGCCAAATTTATGATGATTTTGATGACTCCAGAACCTTGCAGTACACACCAATATTTACATGCTACATGATCAACTTTTTCTGATCTATTCCACACCTTTTCTTTCACAATGCAATCGCATTACCAGAACTCACCTTTATCTTTAACTTTCCGAACTTTCCGAAAAAGCTACCGATTTTTGTGTAATATATACACGCCCCTAATATTGTTCTCTCGTTTAAGCCCCACTGCACTACGTATAGCTACTTGCGCCCTCTATACATAGCAAACAATGCCTAATCGGTGACTGTTGGTCCCCCATGATCCTCTTTTTTTATGTTAATTGAGACCTGATATGATGAGATAACCACCTGTCAGTGACTTTGCAGGGAGGTCTAATCCATATCAGCCAAACTAGTGCAGACGGGCTTTAAAAAGGAAAATGAGCGCCTGTTTAGTCATCTTGACACATTTATTTTATTTCTCTTTTAAAAGCCTCTTTTCTTCTCTTTTTGCTTTTCAAAAGAGCCGTAGAATTTCCCGCATTTTAAAGATTAAAGGTAATACAATGTTTTGGTATGGGGTCATGAATTTGGAATATTGGAAGCATGTGCGATCCTACAATATTCAGTGATCGTTGTCGCGGTTGAAATCGAGTCTAAAGTTATGAAATTATAGATAATAAACTCTTTGTTTTGTAGAGCTCTTTCCCAAGGTCAAGATATTAATTATGCTATAAAACATGTTTCTTGACTAAAATCGACCGATTACAATAATTCAATTAAAATTGTATTGGTCCAAAAGGAAATTTGTTGCGTTTACATGCATTTTTCACGGAGAAAAATAAATAAAATATACATGTGACATGATACGTACAACATGAAACGAGTATATCGAGAAAATAAACATATAGCACTTTAACATTCTCATTATATAGATATTTTCTCTGAATTTACTTTTGACAATATTTGTTCCTATATCCAGAGTAATAACTTAAACAATATAAAATTGTAATTATAGTTACTATTATCATTTTCAATATTAATATTATTTGTATTTGTATTGTTATCATTGATTAGTTTGAATCATTATCATTATGATAATAAAAGATATATGCAATATGAAAACCTATGAATACAGTATGAAATAATTATGAATAAACAAGCACTATATTATGACATTATGAGTCTAAATAGAAAAGAGCCTTTTTCATTTCATTTGGGAAAAGATGGCTATTATAAGAAAGTGAATATAATTGTCCCATAATAAATACAAATAAATGTGTGATCATTTCCTACAATCAAAATGGAAAAGAAATATAATAAGAGTGATTCATTTTACATTTTAAATTTCATTCAGCAGACGGATAGAGTACGGAACAAAAGAGTTCAGGTACCTCGAAGTGCGGAATTTCTTCGACTGCCATCTTTTACCACTTATTAGCCTGACATAATTTCCAATTCAGGGGGCGACTTGAATCACTTGACACCTTGACATCCATACACACTGCTCTGTTTCTACAAACATCATCAAATTCCATTTCTCTATCTATTTTTTTGGCTGCTTGTTTGACAATGGTTTTGAGTTTTCCTTGGTCTTTCTTTCTGGCACTATTGTACCACACTACAGAATCATACGTCATTATACTTCCAACTACGGACCGATGAAAAAAGTGACAGTATGGTCCTATCAACATGGTATGGACGCAGCTTGCGTAGAAAGTGCATTTGCTGGCTCCCTATTGTTGCGAGGGCTATTATATGCCCATTCCAGACCAGTTTATTGTCAATGTTTGTGCCCAAATAGGAGTAAGACAAGGGGACCCCCTTTCTGCATACCTCTTTATTTTAGCGATAGAAACTTTGGCAATAAATATAAGAATGAACCAAAATATCCAGGGCATAAAGTTAAACGATATTCACGAAATTAAACTTTCTATGTACGCAGACGACATAACAGTATTTTTGTTAAATTTCGAATCATATTCTTATTTAACTGCTATGCTTGATGATTTTCAAATTTGTTCGTCACTTTCACTGAATTACCAAAAGACGAAGGCAATGTTTATAGGACACTTTAATGTACAAAATCCAGCAATTCAAATAAATATAAAGTTTGATAATGTTTTGACAATACTCGGAATCGATATCTCCTACTCTTTTGAAGATAGAATGGCACAACTCCAAAGGATTTTATCCAAAATCAAATCTCAACTGAACTTATGGAAAGCCAGGAATCTGTCACTATATGGAAAAATTCAAATAGTTAAAACTTTTGCTATTTCCCAGCTGTTATATGTAGCCAGCATTGTGTCCATTCCCGATTCATTCATTCATAAGGTTAACACAGTACTATACGAATTTGTATGGGGCGGCCCAGATAGAATAAAACGTGAAGTCTTGGTAAAGGAGTACAATGAGGGAAGTTTAAAGATGACTTGTATTAAATCGATTCTTCAAGCTCAGAAAATTAAATGGGTGACAAGACTATTCACGTCAAATTCTATAGGTTGGAAAAACATATGCTTAGAAGTCCCTAATAGGGACTTTTAGATTTGCGTGGACTAATACATGTGACGTCCATTCAAGGCAGTGCTTAAAAGGACGTCGAGCGTAGCATAGACCTATTGTCTTCGTGCGAATTTTAGATTTGCGTGGACTTATACGTGTGACGTCCATTCAAGGCAGTGCTTTAAAAGGACGTCGAGCGTAGCATAGACCTATTGTCTTCGTGCGAATCTAAAAGTCCCTAATGCGACACCCGAGACAATGGACCATTTATTTTGTACATGTCCTAAGATTACAGCCTTTTGGAATGCGCTACGCAGAAGAGTGACTGATTTTAATCCCAATTATTTTCTTACAGGCAAAATCATTTTATTTGGAATTACCGAACCAAAAAGTTCAGCCACCTCAGCTTTTAATTTTCTTATTTTACTTGGTAAACAGTTCTTTCTACGTTGTAAATATCAAGAGAGTATACCTAGTTTGAAACAATTTAATAATTATATTTTGTCTTATAAATCCACTGAAGAAGCTATTGCAAAAAAGAAAAACAAATTTGAGAAGCATATGGCAAAGTGGCAAAACATCAACAAGTATTTCCGTGTTGCATAATGATAATGTTATATATTATGTGCAAAACGTTTCAGGGGATAGATTTATTTGTTTTTGTTACATTTTTTTGTTTTATTTATGTGGTAGTGTATTTGATGTACTATGTTCTATTATGTAATAGAAAAGGTCAGATTATATCATGCGTTATGCCCCGGCGGTGCAGCCGGGCCGACTACGGACCGGCGGGGGAGAGAGGGGCTATAAATGTTCTTTACTTCTTGGCGGCCGGGGTATACAGAAGTATCATGCTATGTTTTTTAATGTTACACTGAAATGTGAAACCGCAAGATTGTAAGTGTGAAACAATATGATTATTCATTATTTTTGTGCAAAACGATGTAACGCATATTTTGTAAATCATTGTGTTTTCTAACCAATAAAACTTATCAAGATAAAAAAAATATATATATAAATGAACCCTTTTAACTGTACTTTCCACATGATATCAAAACGGAAGTTACATCATACCGCTGCCAAATGTTACGAGCAAAATTTAAAAAAAAGCAAAATAGATTTGAATAATAGCTTGGACAATGTTTTATTATATTCTGTCATTAGTTTAATTCATTTGAAAACAAACACAAATCTGTTATTTCTGAGGTAATTTATTATTGATTAGGCCTATATTCATCTTCTTAAGGAGGTGTGCAAAATGACGCACACGGCGTTCTCGCTTTGCACACGGTCTTTACGATGACAGAGGGAGGAGGAGGAGGAGTCATGTTCTCCTCCTAACCAATCGTAAGTCGTCGGTCATGTTGTCCACACGATACTCTCACTGAGTAGCATTTTTTCTTTTAGCGATCAACAGGTATGGGATGTTGACTGGGTGGATTATTTCATCTTTACACGTCTCAATCTTCACGGCAGATAACAAAAATAGTGACACTCTTCATACTGCATGCAAACACTCGATTAACTGAAACACTGGAAAATCTATTTATCGGCTAACTAATTTTCTTTCTTAAAGTTTACCTGAGAGGCGTTGGAAATTTGAAAAGGTTTCTCGATAGGTGAACTAAACACTGGAAACTCCACTTATCGGCTCACTGATTTTTCTATCCTTAAGCGGAACCTGAGAAGCTTTGGAAATTTGAAAAGGTTTCTCTAAAAGTGAACTGATCCTGTGCTTTTAGGAACAAAAATGACAGAAAACAAGGCAGATAGGTGAGTTTATTACGCCTGATTATATTTAACCATAGCTTTATTAAAATAATGTGTAGAAAACTGCTCTTATTGTGATTTTTAAATCGTCATGAGTATTTATGATGTATTGACAATGGAAGGAATGCCAATAAAAATGATATCTACTTTGCATAATATAATTACTTCTCAATATGACCAGATACATCTATGAACTTACTGAATATTTTCCAAGAAATATTTAAAAAATGGGTTCTAAATAACCCTATTTTGGGCCTAGCTTGTACAGTTTTGATTACCCAGGACTAATTTCGGGTAATGTCCCTAATGTTACGGTTTACGAGTCGCAGGTTCTTAATTGGTATATACATGATTCTTTTACGTGAAAATTCTTGCTCTTTAAAAACAAAATAAAATTTACTTTAAACACAAAAATCCGCAAAAATTCCCGATAAATTACCCCCTTTTCGCAAAATGTTACTATTATTATGTCGACGTGCATGTGCCCGGCAGAAGGGCGCAAACGCCTGTGTGCCCGAAAAACCCAGTTTCGAGAAAAACGCGATTGAAGATTATTCTCCTTTTTGCAGCATATTCCTGAACGGTAATCATAGTACAAACATCTTTCAACTTTTACCCAACGATAAAAATACCTCTTCAAGAATCACCAACTTCAATATTATTAAAAATTACTATAAACTTTTAAAGATATAAGAACTTTTTCCGTTCGCGCTCTTCTGCTTGGAACAACTTTACGCTAAAGCGTAGTTTTTCTTCCGGCAAAGGGCGCGAACACCGTTTTACACCCCAATCCCATGTCACCAGAAAAGCGTGAATATAATAAGCTTGTTTATATACTCCGCCTAATTCAGTATTCTCATAGAGCTATGATCTTTCAACCTGTGCAAGTTTCAGCATCCTCTTCCAACATACACACCCTATGAATGCAATCACTTCTATGTTTGCTTTAGAAACGGGGTGTGTCTATTCGAAACAAGGCGATGCGCTAGTTCCCTTTAGTAAAGCATTAATCCTCATTACCAGGTCCCTCGGAGAGGACCTAAAGCCGTCGGCCGTTGGTTGCTTACTTACAAGCATTTTATGCTTTCTTAGCAGTCAGGTAAAATAACCACCACCACCACCACTACCTACAGTAATCATAATGTTACATGTCTGCTAAAAACTTGTTGCACCATCGTATTTGTTCCTTTAAGGTGTTGATTAGCACCTATTTAAATGATTCACACGGTGCTTCATAAAACCTTTAAAAGAGTAGTGGTTTTATTTTAGGATGGGAACATTTTATACAGCCTTAAAAGTTTAATTTAGGCCTTTTTTAAAGTCATGCATATTGATGATCACTTAATTTGGAATGGAAAATCGTGCTCAGAATAGTGGGATCAACTCTCAGTAGAGTCATTCAGTAATAATAATAACTCCACAGAATAGTGAATATTCCCGCCTGTACTTTAAGACACCACTTTTAAAGTAAGATTGTCCTCAATTTTAAGAGATCCGTATTATACCATCACCTCACCGAAATGAATTTGGAAGATACTTCCGGATGGCGCTTCTGTAGTGGTACCATTGTTTTCTCCTGTAATAGACGGTCGTATATAATGCGGCCTTATGAGTAAAAAACTAATTAGCTAATAGCATTAGATGGGGGGGGGGGGGGGTACAAAATACATTGATCTATGCGTGTGTTTGTTTTAATTCATATTGTAAGCCAGTATACCGGCAATACTGTGAATGATTTAAAGGGGTTCTTTCGCCTGCGCGGGCTGTAGGAAATACATTATAATTATGAGACCATATTATCATACTATCGTTGCATTATACATTATCATTGTGATTTGTTCATTAATATACGGGAAAAGGGGGAAAGAAAAAAGAGGGAGGAACTAAAGATAACTATACACAGTAGTAATATTGTTTCGGAACAGTCAATTCAATTTTGTATCAGATTATCCAACGATTATAGCCGCCGCTACCCATAATAGAGGGATTTCTAAAGTGTATGCTCCTACCGATTTAAAAGTTGTGTGATTTAATAATATGTTTACGATGAGTAGGATGATAGACCAACATTAAGGTTTTGACTCAAAATCTGATGCTTTTGCTTTTATCTGTTTCCATTACTGTTCTGTATGAAAATAATATTATTTTGTGGAATAAAAATTGATGGTGACGGGGATGTTCGTTTGTATAACGATACTGGAAATGGGTATAATGACAATAATGACAATAATAACAGCGTTGGGGTCTAATAAATCTGAAAACTCGCATGATAAGTCAAAATGAATCGTGTTAATCTCCTATTTTGAAAATTTTGTCATTACCAGTCCGTTTCAAATGTTGATTTAACATTTGAGTTTTTAGAGTGCAGTATAGCGCTTATCACTGCCAGAGCATAAAACTGTTTTTATGAACATTAAAACGGTTAAAAATAACATACGTAGGAAGATGAGAATCAAAGTGATAGAAGAAGATTTTATTATAGTATAGAATTGCCCTCTGACGACTCGCGACGGCATGTTTCAATATGAAACATAACGCCCTGTTGAAAGAAATCATGAATAAATAAATAAATAAATATCAACCGGATCTTCCACAAGATTTAAGACAACGTTCGGAGAATGTGAATGTTTGTATTTGTCTTCTATCAAAATATTCTAAGATATCAAAAGATCTCTAAAGGGCCTATCTCACTGAGCAGCGAATGCTTGCGAACGTTGCGAATTGGGATTCGCCAACTTTTCTGACGAATGTTGGCGAAAATTAGCGACATTAAGTGACGTTTAGCGACAATTAGCAACATTTGAGCGAATGTCTCCGAAAGTGTTTGCGAAAGGCAGTTGGCGACTATTAGCGACTGTAAACAAATGTTAGCGACAACTCTTGCGAAGATTAGCAACTATTTGCCAATCCTTTGCCACTATTTGTGAACGTTTGAGACCTTTTGCTAACTACTGGCACTCAATGGGTCGATTTTATAAAGGAACCATATGGTAACGTGGTCGCTAGCTTTGGCGAAACACAGAGAACTGACGAAAACAAAGAGCAAAACCGTTTAACAACCGTTTGCAAAGGCTTACGACTGTTTTGCGAACGCTAACGACTGTTTTGCAAACGCCTGCAACTGTTTGCGGAAAAATAAATTCGCAAAGAAATTTTGAACATGTTCAAAATTTCTTTGCGACATGAAAAACTGTTTACAACAAAGAAAACTGTTTGCGATCTTTCTTGCAACCTTTTACAACATTTTACAAACTCTGGCGAAACCCCAAATTCGCTACGTTCGCAAGCATTCGCCGCTCAGTGAGATAGGCCCTTGAAAGCTCAAATGACAAGCTTCAAAATCGGAATTACTCATAAACCAGAGAAGTATTTAATTACTAATAAATGTAATACTCTTAGAAGTAGTGGTAATAGCATCAGTAAAAGTAGTAGTAATAGTAAAAATATAGTACATTGCAACCTGTCTATAAAGACCACCCAAGGGAGACAAGAAAAGTGGTCGTTATAGGCAGGTGGTCTTTGTAGACAGGTGCCTATAGTACATGTTTCAATGAGAAATCATTTTCGTGGGAAACAAAAAGTGTGGTCTTTGTAGACAGGTGGTCACTAAAGCAGGTTTGTCTGTAGTGGTATTAGTATAGTGTCAGTTGCCGCAATTGCAGTAGTAGCTGAAGTAGTACTATAGGAATCCAAATATTTCCATTTCAGACGTGTGGAGAATCTGCTCTTAATCGACGACTATCAACAGAAAGTTCAGGAAATCTTGTAAGCCTACATGCCTATGATAATGTGTCAGGTTTAAATTCATAAGATTAAAAACAGATTAAAATAGATCTACGGCAGTATTAGGATGCTGTAGAGTCGAGGACAATACGATTATTTTTTTAATGCTAATATTCGCATTTGATTAATTGTGAACGTACAGTAAATGACTTATTGACTCCATTTTAATTCATCATTCATTAATATTTCTGAATCGCATGAACACGATAAAGGGTTAATTGTTTCCCAACGACGGTTTGATGCTGGCAATTTTTTATCTAAATTTTTTTATCTTGTCACAAAATTTACCCAGTTATGTAGTCTACTATAAACGGGCAAAGTGGCAGTCCACGTGTGCCAATGCTGTTAGAAAGAATTGCACAGCGCCACTGATTAATCTACCTGCATAAAATGAAATCTTGTGTAGAGAACATTCTCAATCAAAGTATTCAACTTCATCTATACCCTAATAAAGGTCAATGGACTATTCTAAATACACAGGTGCTGTACTTGTCGCTTAGCTTAGAGCATTCGATACTTATGACCCTCAGATAATTATAACGAAACAATGCATGATACCGGTAATACTTACACCACCACCACCACACACCACCACCACCACCACCACCACCATGACTACTACTAATACTACTAGTAGTACTATTACTGCTTCTATTGCGATATTTATTTATTTATTTCGAACCTTTTGTCAGGGAAGCCCATTCACCAATAAGTGGTCTTCCATGGGGCCCTGAATAAACATGAACATATTTACATAAAAAGCATAACGTTTATACAGAACAGTTAAAATAAAAATCCATATACATTTAGGACATAATGACATCATAATGATACGATAATGCTAATTATACATGTATAACATTATAAAGATATTATGATATAACAATGACAACCGAAAAGCACATATCTCTGTAAAATCTCTTGTAAGTTATACTTGCATGCCTTATTTTATGTTTATACGACTACAGAACGTATTGATAATATGTCTCACAGATGAGTGCGCATGCGCCGTATCATATTCCTGCATTATTTATCAATAAACCAATTAAGCGACAGTATGGATGGTCGCTTATAAAAAAGAAAAACAGTAAAAAACAGACGGAAGTCAAGATTTGTTAAAACAAGGACCACGTGTGCATATCCTTCAGTGTACTGTATATTACTTTTTGAAGTATTTGTGTCTGTTTGCAAGTCGTCTTAACTTTTGTGAATTTCTCCCC